AATAATAATAATATTTTATTTCTGTCCCGCCCCTCTGCAGCACAATCGGCTGTAGATTATAGACTCAAGAAAAGGGAGTAAGCTAAATCTGGGGGGGAAAAAGAGATAAAAATGGAAGGATTTATTGATACATTCAAAATTAATTGCAAGGACAGCATTTCTTTCTGAAGGTGACCAAAAGAGTCACAAAAAGACGCACACTGATTTTGCGCAATAAGGCTTACACATCATTTTGAAACCTCCCTTGCATAAATTATCCCTATTTTAAATGGTCATGAGATGTATAAAAGAGAGATGATGTGGGTCGGGCTTTTATATACATGAAAAAGGTGGTCTTAAAATTTATCATATTTTTTAGCACCAGACAGGGATGCCCACTATCACCACTATTGTTTATCCTGGTGCTTGAAGTAATAAATATTAAAATAAGGGAGGATCAGAGCATACAAGGAATTAATATAAAAGGTCATCAATATAAAATCAAAGCGTATGCAGACGATCTCGTAATATTCCTAGAAGATCCTGTTAAAAGTCTTCTACACAGCCTGCAAGAATTTGGAGAACTAGCAGGTTTTAAAATTAAGACGGCAATAATGACAATGAATATGACTGGAGAAGAAGAAGAATTACAAAGAAAATCGAAATTTAGAATAGGAAAAAAAAATCAAAATATTTAGGAATAATAATAACAAAGAGAAATGCAGATTTTAGATATCGTCAATACTAAAGTGGAGAAGAGAAATATGATATAGAAAACGAGAGGTAGATGTAAGCAGCACTTCAGGTAAATGAGCAAATATATGTGCTTATCATTTGAAGTAACTAACAGAAATATTTAAAGATGTTGCTAATCTCAAAGGAGGTATTAATAAGAAAGAGGAAAAATTAAAGTAAATAAAATAGTAAAGTGTTCCGAACCGGGAAGTTTATGAACAAGAATCATTGTTAGTAAACGATAGAAGAATTTTTGTACTTCGTACTAGTTCTGTATTGTATATTGATTGTTAGTAAGTAGAATTTTGTTTGTGTGTAAATTTGTTATGAATTAATGTCATGTCTGTCATTTTATCTATATGTGTGTTGTTGTTTTTTAAATAAAATAAAATAATATCAGAATGTGGAAAGAAATACAATTTTTTTTAAACAAATAGTCAAAGTTACAAGTCTCCCTTCTAGGGAAAATTTCACTAATCAGAATGAGCATCCTTCCAATTGCAGAATTGAATAATTCTTACTAATAAATGTGGCTTATATAGTGTTTCACCTGTCATATTGTTTATATATGTCCTTAACATGCCCGACAAACTTGGAAAATAGATTTCCATAGCTCACAATGGCATTTGTAGAACCCTCTTCCTCCGTCACATTTCCAATGAGTTTATTTTCTTCCTCTTAGTTTACTTTACTGTCCTGTTTTCACATCTCCGTATAGAAATCACAAATACTATGGCATGGATGGTTTCTATCTTTGGTATTTAATTATATATCTCTACACCGGAAAATCTTATCTAGTCCCTTCCAAGTTTGGGTCGTTCTTCTGACTTCTTGACTACAGTCTCTGTTAATAGCAGAGCCAAAGTAGAAGATACCTTGCACGTAAGTGTTGTTGTTGTTGTTGTGGTAGCTGTTGTTGTGTGCCTTCAAGTCATTTTGGACCCTAAAGCGAATCTATCATGGGATTTTTTCTTGGCAAGATTTGTTCAGAGGAGGTTTTCCATTGCCATCCCCTGAGGCTGAGAGAGTGTGACTTGCCCAAGGTCACCCAGTGGGTTTCATGGCTGAGCTGAGCATCGAACCATACTATTAATATTTTTTCAGTGAATGCAAGGAGCGTAGGCTTATCGTAAGAGCCAGTCTGGTACGGTGGCAAGCAGCCTTTCTTATAGCTGTCTGCAACCTCCCTTATCCTCATTACTATAGGTCATGCTGCGCAAGAATTTGGGGAGTAGCATACCAAAGATAGAAGCATTGGACTATGACTCTGGAGACCTGGGTTTGAATCCCTGATCAACCATTAAACCCCACTGGGTGGCAAGGCACACTCTCTCAGCCTCAGCAGATGGCAATGGCAACCCCCCTCAAAGAAACTGGCCAAGAAAACCCCATTAGAGGTTCATGTAGGGTTTCTATAAGTCAGAAACAATGGCACCCAACAGCAACATCCTCCAACTGTCCTCATTTGTCAGACACCATACCAATTAATCCTCTGCTGTCCCACTTTTCAGCCACTGTTGACATGTCCTGGTTCCTCCTGCTCTTCCCTCTTTGTCCTCAGCTTATTTCCATTGCTGCAAACTAAGTGCAAAAGTACTCTTGCCTCCATTCACTCAGGAGAAGAGAGAAGACGGGGCAGAGTCCTGGCCTTTCCAGGAGGCTCAGGCAAAAGCAAACTGCCCCAGTCTGTCCAGCTTGTTTAGTTTTGTTAGTTTGTCTAGCTTGTCTGTCCATCCTCTCTGATAATGTTTGCTATCTTAACCACACACTGAGGTTGCTTGGCCACACACACGTCCTGGTTGTCGTCTATGAAATGTTGGAGGGTATGGAGTTGTGTTCAGTAAGCTGGTTTCCATATTTTATTTTATTTTTTAAATCACATCTTACCAAATGTTCACTTTTAGCCATATGAACTTATGTACATTTAAATACATTGCATGTGCCTATGCATATTATATTGTAAATTTAAAGGTATAGTTTTAATTTGTTTACTAGTTGTTTGCTGTCCAAAACGCACTACAGAAATAATCTAGTTTGAGACTGCTCTAGATGCACTGGCTCAATGCTAGGGAATCCTGGGAATTGTAGTTTATTTCTGGCACTAGAGCTCTCAGACAGAGAAGTTTAAAATGACTCACAAAACTATAAATCCCAGATTTGCTTTGAACCAATGCAGTTAAAGTGGAAACTGGCTTTAGTCTCAGCCCCAGAAAAGCCAT